GTGTGTGTGTGTGTGTGTGTGTGTGTGTGTGTGTGTGTGTGTGTGTGAAGAGGGGTCATGTAGGGTCGGGCCAACCCCTTTCAAGAGCAGGCTGATGAGGGGTCAGATACCCAGTGGGCAGGTCTTGTTCAAGGTCAAGGGTGGCTGGGTGGGACAGGGTGTGTGTGGATGCGAGCTTCTGCCCTGGGTTTATCCCAATTGCCCTGGAGCGGGCGTCACTGTACCGCGTGCAGGGCTGGGCACGCACAGGTGTGTCTGATCTGGGAGCAGGAGGGGGACTGGGCAGGGGGACAGGGAGGCTGGCTGGGCAGGGCTGTGATGCCTCTGGGCCGGATACCCGTCCCTGTCTCTGCAGACCATGGATGAAATCGGGAGGAGGCTGGCGGACAGCCGTGACATTTCCGGGACCTGGGGCGTGACCCCACAGGGGTCCCCAGGAGCAGGTGCTGGGGATTGCGGGGGAAGGCCTCCGACACCACCCAGACCACTGTCCCTGGTGGTCATTGACTGGATTGTGCTCCAGGAATGGAGCCCACGGAGACCGAGCTCGAGGCTGAGAAGCCTGGGGCGGGGTGCCTGTGGGTGTGTGGGGACGGGTCGGGGCTGGTGCCACAGGGAGGAGCCCTGAGAGTCTGGTGTGGGGCCAGGAGCAAAGACTGTGTGCAGAGCACCCAGCGGGTGGACAGCAGTCGGGGAGGCGTCCCGGGAAGGGCTCCTTCCTGGCTGCGGCTTCTCTGGGAGGCTCTGGGCTGGGCTCTGTCTTGCAAATACCCACAGAGAACAGGCACGGGGGTGAGCTTTCCTCCTCTCACAGATGTTCCACGACCTAAGGAGCTAGAGCCGGCTCCAACTCCATCAGCAGCTCTGCAGGGAGGGGTGGTGCCTGCAGAGACTTCAGCAGGAGACCAGGAGCCGGCAGTTGAGCTGGCAGTTGACCCGGCACCTGCCCACGGAGAGCCTGACGCCGACCAGGAAGGGCCTGCTGGAGAACCTGTGCCCGGAGAGCCTGCCCCTGTTCCTGCCACTGTTCCTACCAGAGCCAGTGCCCCTGTGCCTGCCCCGAACTGTGGCCCTGCTCCTTCCCCAGACCCCGCTCCTGCCCTGGATCCTGACCCATCCCTACCCCTGCCAGTGCCCCTGTCCCTGCCCCTGACCCAGATAGTGCCTTGGTTCCTGTATGTGCCATTGCTGCAGACCCTGTCCCTCCCCTTGCATCTGCCCCTTCCCCTTCCCCTGCTTGTGCTCCTGTTCTGGGCCCTGACCCAAGTCCTGCCCCTTCCCCTGCCCATGCCTGTGTCCCTGTTTTCGCCTCTGACCCAAATCTTGCCCCCACTCATGTCCCTGCCCCTGCCGGTGCCCCTGCTAGAGCCGATGGCCCTTCCCTTGCCCCTACTCGTGCCCCTGAGGCTGCCACTTCCCCAGCCCCTGCCTGTGCACCTGTTCTTGCCCCTGCTCTGGATCCTGACCCAGCTCCTGTCCTGGATCCTGCCCCTTCCCTTGCCCCTGCCTCTGCTCCGGTTCTTGCCCCTGACCCAAGTTCTGCCCCTGCCCCTGCCCCTTCCCCGACGTGTGCACCTGTTCTTGCCCCTGACCCAGCTCCTACGCTGGATCCTTCCCCTTCCCCTACCCCTGCCTGTATTCCTGTTCTTGCCCCTGTCCCAGCTTCTGCCCCTGCAACTGTCCATTCCCCTGCCCCTCCCTGTGCTCCAGTGCTTGTCTCTGACCCATCTCCTTCCCCTTTCCCTACCCGTTTCCCTGCCCCTGCATGTGCACCCATTCCTGCCCATGACCCACCTCCTGCCCCTGCACCTGTCCGTTCCTCTACCTGTGTCCCTGTCCGTGCCCCTGCCAGAGCCAATGCCCTTTCCCCTGCCTGTTTCCCCATTCCTGCCCCTGCCCCTGCCAGAGCCAATGCCCTTTCCCCTGCCTGGGTCCCTGTCCCTGTCCCTGCCCCTGCAAGAGCCTATGCCCCTTCCCCTGCCTGGGTCCCTGTTCCTGCCCCTGCCCCTGCCAGAGCCGATGCCCCTTCCCCTGCTTTCCAGGGCCGCAGGCCCTTCCCTTGGCCCTGCCTGTGCTCCTGTACTTGCCCATGACCCAGCTCCTACCGTGGATCCGGCCCCTGTCCCTGCTCTTGCATTTGGCTCTGCTCTTTCATCTGGCCCTGCCCATCCTCCTGTTCCTGCAGGGCTCCCAGAACCACTGCCAGAGCCCACATCCTCGTGGAGAGAGCCCCTTGTACAATTACCCTTATTTCCATCACCCGACCCTGATGCCCCGCCAGATTGTTTCATCCCCTCCCCCTGTGTTCTTTCTCTCTGGTACATATTCACTGTTATATTATCTTTCCTTATCCTCTACGCTGTTTATTATTTATTTTAAATAAAATTAATTGTTTTCTGTTGGACAAGTCTGGAGCATTAATTATATTCCCAATGCTGTGCCACCGCACCCGAGAACATTGCTGCACAATATCTGCTTCCGCAAAGGACACCCTGAACCAGAAGGCCTCCCTGCCCATTTCTCCCCGAGCCCAGCCCCTGGCGACCCCTAAGCTGCTTTCTCTCTCTGTTCCTTTCCTGGGTGTTTCCTGTACGTGGAATCACGCAATAGGGGCTTTTGTGTCTGCCCCCCTATTTTCAAAGGGAACTTGCTTCCTTCTGTATTTATTGGACACAGAATTTCCCTTATTCGATATTGAAATGCCTGGGGGTTACAGATCAGACGTAATCAGAGCGGCCACTTTAGGAATTATGGGCACAATCTTGGGGCCGAGACCCCTGTTCCTGCTGGGACACCTTAGCTTGACCCCAGACAGGACAGGGCTGGTTCCTCCTGGGTCCCACACAGAAACCAGGGAAATGCAGAAAGGTGGAAGACACACCCCAAAGGCAATGCATTGCTCACAACCCAAGGCCAGAGAAAGGTTTCAGCGGACTCTGGTCCAAACCACGCTCCAAGTCACTGGGTTCCACAGTGAGAGACCACACGCATGCAAGTCCAAGTGGGGACAGGCACGGGGGGAGTCAGAGAAGCGGAGCTACCAGGTAAGGAGTCTGGCAAAAAAAAAAACAACGCTATGGAGGCAGCGCTGGTCACCCTCAGACCGGCAGGTGTCTGGTCTGGGGACCAGCAGCCCTGGGGAGAACGTGAGGAAGCGGAGGTCCCCTGGAGGAAAGGGTGACGGCACCCCTGTCTGGGAGGACAGTGCGCAGCACCCATCCCAGCCTGCAGGTGCACCCATCACCTACTGTGGGCAGCTCAATCCCAGCTTGTTGAAGGGAAGACCCGTGTCCATAATCCCCTATTTGCAACAGAATCCATAAAGGCGAGTTTGTGGATCAACACGTATACAGTGTTTAAGGTACAAGTCTCGAATTCCAACATCCATGGTCTGCTTGTCCACCTTGAGCCTTGTTTGGGAAGCAGGGGTGGGGACGCCCGGGGCTGTGACCTGTGGGAGGGGTGGGGAGGGGGAGCTCTGAATGGAGTGACCAAAGCACACGGGGTGACCTGCCCAGGAGGGACCCTCTCGGTCCCCAGCCCCTCTCCTGACCTCGTGCACGATGGCGAGGGTGTGATGATGAAGGTGCTGGCCCTTGGCTGGCGAGATCCGTAGCTGGTGTCGGAGCTGCTCAGGCTGCACACCGGGCTC